CAGAGGGCAGCCCCATGACTCCAGTGGAAGAGGTTGGATCTGATCATCTTGAGTGGTGATCAGAGTTCCCTCTGGTCTTGTCACATTGTCCTGGGGCAAGGACCACAGGGGCCAGAGCGTGCAGCCTGCAAAGGAGAGAAAGCTCCCATGTTCACAGGAGATGGGCTGCAGCCTGATCCTTCTCCTGACCCCCCCTAAAAACCTTGACCCTTGCCATGGTGGTTTCTTTCCTGCCTGGCACTGGATTCCTTGGGTGTATCCGCACTATTACTGAAGGTGTTTGACAAAGTGAGCCAGTCATTGGTTGCCATTGTGTTTACTTCTGTTTCAATTATGAAAATAACTTGGCTTTGCAAATATTTACATCCCATCCACTTTGCAAATATGTGCATGTTGTTCATTTGTTTAAAGTTAAGGGCATTTCTTAACTCGAATTGTCAGTTGGTTCTGCAAGTGCAGTACTCCCTGGTTGTGTTAGGCCTCTTTTGCAACATTGTTCACTTAAATTGTCTTTTCATGCTCTTTGCTGGCTGAAGTGCTGCAGTTGTTTTCCAAGGAAAGATTAACAGATAATGGCAGTGCTTTCTGGGCATCTGACTATCTGACTTGGCAGATCTGGACTCTGGACTTCAGTTAATAATTGTTCACACCTCGAGGTACCTCCTCCATGTTTACCTTTGCTGCCATGACTGCTAGATGGAGAGACAGAAACAGACCTCCAGCTCTGTTCATAAAGGCAGAAATAATCAAATCTGGCACAACATTTGGCTGTGGAGAAGTGGAGCCCTTACGCACCCCGGAACAAGGGCAGGTGCTGACACTTTGGGAAACCATTGCAATTCCTTAGATATGCACTACCATCTGATCCTGCCTTCCTACCCAGAATTAGAATGAATTCACCTCCACTAGAGGTTTGTTGGTGAGCATTCGTAGTAGCATTCTTCACAAGAGCCCATGTAGTAATGGCTTGTGTGCAGCTAGGGAATGAGACAGGTAAGCAGGTGGGGGGTATCCAGGCAGTAACATGTCACTCAGTAATCAAGAGGAACACGAATGGATCTGTGTGAGGTGGAAGGAGCCCATGTGTAAGTAATCTCAAAAAAAGACACAATCTTCATCATAGGGAAGATCATGGCTCTGTGCTGAATGGTCTACTTAACCACTTGACATTTGTGGTATTGTTTATCCAGAGTGTTTTACAGTACAAAATAAGAATATTTATTTATACCTCAAATTCTATGTTTATATATTTAAGAAGAAACACCTTTGAGATGTGGAGAAAAATGAAGCTTTCGCTCTGTCAAACTGGTAATTTGGGGAATTACTGCTTGAAAACTTAGGTACCAGTTATTTGAATTCACTCACAAACCCAATAGTTGGATTTAGCCTGGGATATGGTGCATTCCTTTTTGGGCATTTAGCACAATCTTGGACCTCTTGTGCAGCTTAATGCTAAATATATAAAGAAAACACATACCTTTGAACTGGAAGATTTCTGGGTTATGGGTTAGTCCCATTGCTGTGCTCACATACATGTGCAAAAGTGTGTACACGGCCTGCCTGCACACCTGCTACTGCAGCAGCAATGGGAGGTAAACTCATAGGTGGTACACCTGAGGAGATCGTAGTGTCCTAGGTGATGAAGGCAGCCAGGGAAGGGATCATGTGCCACTGGCTTGGAAGGAAGTGCTGGGTCCTATGAAGTTCCCCACACAGAGTCTCCAGGGCCACGCAAGAAATGGTGTATAGCATTCACCTCTGGGGCAGGGAGTTGAGATACTGAATAGCTTTAAATTCCTTTTTGAATTGCTTGATTTTTTTTTTTTTTAAATTTTTTTTTTTTTTAAAGTCTTGTTCTTGTCTTCAGGAAAGAAAAGCCAAAACAAAAGCCCATTTTTAAGGAATAATGCTAAACTCACCCGTTCCTTATGGAACAGATTGGTGCAGGCTCCATGGGGCAGCTCAGCTTTGTGGGGCACACAGATGGATATGCCTGTGGACCTGTTGACTCCATTCTTGGCACTTATCCAAGTGTAGCTAGTAGGGCAATATGAAAATGCGTTTATGCAGATGTTCATTAGAGTGCTGATTATGAGAAAGTGGAAAACCAGCCGATGAATCTTGATACTTTTTTCTGTGTTACTGTTAAAATTGGACTGTGGATTCCCGTGTCCCCAGGCGGCACTGACCGGCAGAGTTTTCTGCAGTCCCAAAGTGTCCTGCTAAGGAGTCCTGTGCAGCAGCCACTGGCCACACGGCTGCCGAGCCCTGAGACACAGTAAGCGTCACTGAGGAACAGAATCATTTGCTGTGTTTAAGTGTGGTGCACTGAAGTTTGTAAGGCCCTTTGCAGCTACAACTGCCATGTCAGCAAATGCAGACCTGGAGTCCAGCTCAAGAGCTGGCCAGCACTTTTCTGTGAAAGACCTGATAGCCCTTCTGTTTTGCAGGCCTGGGGTTTCTGCCACTGTGACATAAAAGCATCCCAGGCAGTAGGAAATGAATAGGCCTGGCTGTGTCTCAATAAAACTTTATTTATGAATGACCAGCTGAGCCAGTCGCTGAGCCGCACTCTAGAAGAACGTGGTGTCTGCTGTATTAAGTATAAAAAAATTGAGGCTTTGGAACCACATACCCAGCGTAAGCCGGTACTACTTTGAGCAAAGCCCTGTACATCAGCAGACCCTTGCCACTGGTCTTGGTCATGCTTCCCTTGTTTTCACAAACTTCCATGATGGATTCACCATCTGAAGGAATTCTATTTGACTTTGGCTTTATGTTTTTAAAAAATGTTGACAAGCTCATTCAGGCAGCCGACAGAATTTGAATCATGTGGAACTAATTCTGTAATACTCTGTAACAGAGAAGTAACAAGAATAAAAATTAGATGTGGGATTTTATGGAACAAGCCTATCTTTTTATCAAGGCACACCCTTTATATTCTGACATGTCATGATTTCATTTCTATCTTTAGAATTGTTTTGAATTTTTAAGCTCACACTTAATAGCAACCCTTGAAGGCTTTTTTGGTAGAAATTGACAAACTGATTCTAAAGTTCACAGGGAAATATAGTATAGAGGACATAGACCAGGCAAAACTTTGGAAATGAAAAACCTGAAAGAGTAGTACTACCTGACAAAAAGTTAACTTGGATCCCCACCTCATATGATATATAAAAATGAACCCCAAAAACATCATAGACCCAAATGTAAAACCTCTAGGAGAAAGGTATGATATGGCCTTGGGTTAAGCAAAGCTTTATTACATATGTCATCTTTTTTTAAATTTGTTTTTGTTTTTGTTTTTTTGAGGCAGGGTCTCACTATGTAGTTCAGGCTGACCTGTAACTCACTTTGTAGCCCACTCTGGTCTCGAACTCACAGTGATCCTCCTGCCTCAGCCTCCTGAGTGCTGGGATTACATGTGTGCACCATCACACCCAGGCATATGTCGTGTTTTCTAAAAAGCACACTGCCTGGTGCTGAGGTGTGTGGCTCAGTGGTAGAAGCCTTTCCCAGCAAGGCTGAGGCCCTGCGTTCAACTCCTACCATTGAAAGAAAAAAGAAAGGAACTGGATATGGTGGCACATCCCTGTGATCCCAGGTACTCAGGAGGCTGAGGCAGGAGACTCTCCAGTCTGAGGCTAGCCTGGGCTATATAGTATGACTCTGTCTCAGAAAAGAAAGGAAATAAAAACTGCTCTTTCAAAGACATTGTTGAGAGAATGAGAAGACAAGACAAAGTCAGAGAAAAAATTGCAAATTATGAATGTAAGGACTTGTATCCAGAATATAGAAAAAAATTCAAAATTCAGGAAAACAAACTTTTTTAATGGGCAAAAAAAAAAAAAAAAAAAAAAAAAATTTTTTAAAAGGAAAAAAAAAAAAAAAAAAAAAAAAAAAGATTTAAAAAGACATCACCAAGGAAGACAACACAAACTCTAAACAAGCCCATGGGAAGATGGTCTTTATCATTAGCTATTAGGAAAACACAAATTTAACCACTATCCCTTCATAACTGGGTTTAAACTGACAGCTGCCCATCCGTCCTGGTGTTGGAGAGTGCAGGGAGGAGTGGGCTCTCATTCACTGCTGGTGGGAACCTGGGGTGTGCAGCCACCCTAGAAAACAGCTGGGTGGCTTCTTACAGGGTTACACATATGCCAGGCGTGGTGGCTCATACTTGTCATCCCCGCACTCTGGGAGGCTGAGGCAGGAGGATGCAAGCTTGAGTCTAACCTGGATAATTTAGTGACTTAGCAAGACCTTATCTCAGTTGTTAAGAGGGTACAGGGCTGGAGGCCTTAGGGGCTGGGGCAGTAGCTCAGTGCAAAGTCCCTGGGTTCGGTATCGAGCGTGTGTGTGCATACCCGCACAGACACAGACCTGGAAAATGAAGTCTAGTCAGTGACAGAAGGCAGTGGTTGCCTGGGGCAGGGGATGGCCCTGAAGTGGTTTTGCAGGTGTATCTCTGTGTCAGAGCTTATCACACACTACACTTTTCCTGTTTTCCCCAAGAATACTCATCGCCAGCCAATACATGGAATATCTCACTTTAACTATTTTCATATTGCTCTAGTATATTGATAGCTTTTGGAAACAAAGACATTGTAGCACTCTCCTTTTTTTTTTTTTTGGTACCGGGGATTGAACTCATGACTTTGAACCTGAGCTGAATCCCCAGCCCTGTAGCACTCTGCTTTTAGTTAGCAGTATTTCCATTTACAGAATAAAGTCATTCTGGCAGCTGCACTTTTCTAAATGGGAAATGGGTACGTGTAGTTTCTTCCGCATTACCTGACATCCTAGCACAGCTATTTAAAAAAATTTTTTTTAACTAAATTACAGCATCCTACGGCTTCATTTCAGTCTTAAGAAATGGTCTGAGTTTCCAGGGCCTCCAAGGTCTAGGTGTGCGTCAGGTAAAGCATTTATGATCCACTTCTCTCCATCCATGTCACCAAGAGCTTATTTTGGTCTTCTTGTCTCTTCCATCCTAGAGAGCCGCCCAGTGCTGGGCTGCAGGGAGCTGGTCTTCAGGAACCTTTCCAAAGTCCTTCCTGCCATCTGTCACGACATTACTGACTGGGTGGTGGGGACCAGGGTGAAATCTGCACAGCTCCTACCAGTTCTGCTCCTGCACGCCGAGGACCACATGACACAGCACCTGGAGATCATCCTCAGAACGCTGCAGCAGGCTTGTGCTGACGAGGAGGCGGCCGTGGTCAGCAGTGTGAGTGGTCATTGCAGGTTGCGTCTACATGCTGTGAAAGGCACATGACCAGAGTCAGGACACAGATAGCTTCTGACCTGAGACCTCCTGGTACCTCCCACGCCCAGCCCCTGGGTATCACTGACCTGCAGCCTAGGAAATGACCGCATGTTCAAGAAAGCCCGTGTGCTTCTCGTTAAGCCCACTTGGACTTAACATGTGGCATACTTGCATGGCACTTGCTGCCAGGGCCAGGCTGTTGGCAAAGATGCAGAATGGCCCTGGGAGTCCAGCTATGACAATGTGCAGCACTCTAGAATCTGTAGGGACCATAGAACAACTCTGACACCAGTACATGGCATCCCTGCTCCTTATTCTTTTCTCCATTGTCCACTTGGCTGGTGGTCAGTGCTGCCTTCAGAGCAGGGCAAAGCACAGAGCCTCATGTTTGTCCAGCCTGCACTCCATGACCCTTGGTGGCACTAGCCAGCAGGTGCCCTTTGCTGCCACTGATGGTTACTGCATCAGGACACATCTTGGCACTTGGGAGAATGAGGCCAACATATCTGCTTCATCCTGAATCTTAAATTCCATTGAAATCTTGCTAATTGTTTTGTTGTCACTGTTTTAGTTTTAAGTCGGTTTACTGAATTAAAGTAAGTGCTACAATTCTACATTTTATGCCCATTTCCATGTCATGTTTTTACTTTTCAAAATCTAGCATCCATTTAAGATTTTTAAAGCTCCTTTTTTATAGAGTAGATTTGATTCTTGAATATCAGATTTATCTAAGAAGCCAAACTTAGTATGGATTATTTGCTGTAAACCATATCTTTCCACACACAACCTTGTTTTTAAAACAGGGTCTCACTATGTAGTTCAGGCTGGCCTTGAACTTACTCTGTAGCCCAGGCTGGCTTTAAACTTACAGTGATCCTCCTGCCTCCCAAGTACTGGGATTACAGATGTGTACCACCATTCTACCTGGTTTCCACGCACAACTTTTGAAGCTCTATTTTCCCCATAGATAAAGGTGAACTTATTTTGTGTCTACCCATCTGATTTTGCAAAGGATGAGATGCCTACGTGGTGATTGCACCCAGCAGACCCTGGTGTAGCACATGCATCCTCTGCCTATCCCAGCAGCACCACAGAGCAGATGTGGACCCACCCCCAAGCACCACAGGCCTCAGCCACCCCCTGTTGCTCCACTCCTCCTGGTAGCCCTGACTTGTTCTTCATCTGTTATTGTTTAGATCTAAAAAGTCCCTTAAAATTCTCATGTGTTCAGAAGGTGATCAGATCATAGGGGCACTGTACTCATCAGTGGATTCATCCATGCTGAGTTCATAGTTGAATGTGCTGTTCAGGGGTGGGGCTCGGTTGGAGGAGATGGATCACTAGGGGATGTGACCTGGAAGAGTGTATTCTTAATCCAGTCTTCCTTTCTCTCCTGCTTTCTGGTTGCCATGGGTTGGACAGCTTTCCTCCCTGGTGCCTTCCACCAGCCAACCATGGACTAAACTCTGAAACCATGAGCCAAATAAACTTGTCCTTGAATTTGTAGGTGTCAGATATTTAATCGCAATGGAAAAGCAAACTAATGATCTCTGTTGTGTCTCCTTGGAGTGTTGTGTGAGTAGAATCCCACAGTGTGTGGCCTCAGCCTTGGCCTTCTCTCCATGATGCCCTGAGATCCAGCAGGTCCTGAGCTTCTTATTGCCCAGTAGGAGTCCATGCTGTGGAAATGCCACGTGTGTTCAACAATTACCAATAAGTTTAGGTCACTATGTCAGATGAGGCACATGAGGCAGGAAACCACCAGGATGCAGCCTTCCCATGTAGTGGAAATGCTGCCTGACCCCTATGATCCATTTGCTTGAGCTTTCTTCAGTTGCAGGTCCTGAAAGGCAGAGGGATACTGTGTTCCCTTGGTGCTCCTCTAGTGGGCAGAGAACCCACAGGGTTGGGTGTGGGCAGGTGTTTTCAAACCCATTCATTTTGTTCTGTCTCTCTCTCACAGTGCGTGAGATCTGCAGAGCTGATTGGGACATTTGTTAGCCCAGAAGTATCTCTGAAGCTGATCTTATCGATGTTGAAGAAGGCACCCTCCTCTTGTAGCCTGTTGGTTCTTGCTTCCATCATTCAAGGATGCCCACGAGATGCCCTCCAGCCACACCTCAAGGTCATCACCACAGAGCTTTCCCAGGCTCACGTCTGCCAGGCATCTGAAAATGTAAGATGGTGCAGCGAAGGATCAGCACACAGGTCACAGCCTGGGTTAGGGCTAGGAGGTGTCCCTGGTGACATTTGAGCCTAAATGCTAATAATCAGAGGCAGCAGCACCCACACCAGGCCCTCAGGCTCATCAGTTGCACCCAGGGTGCTAACACCAACATCTCGGGCTTAGGGACCTGACCTGCTCTGTCCAGTACTGTAGCCACCAACCAGATGGCCATTTAAATTTGTTAAAGTTAAGATTTCCTTTTCTTTGGGCCGAGGATTTAGCTCAGTGGTACCGCACCTGCTTTGCAAGTGCAAGGTCCTGAGTTCGATCCCTGTTACTGCAAAAAGAAATGCTTTTTTTCTTTTCCTTAGTCACTTTGGCCACCTGGCGATTAGCCAGCAGCCATGTGTGGCCAGTTGCCATCTGTTGGACAGTGCAGGACAGACATACCCATTGCCAGGAGAATTCCTGGATGGTTCTGCCATGGGTGGTCACAGGTTAGAGAGGGTTGCAGGTCAGTGGCATGGTGGAGGGAACCCTAGTCCCCAGCCCTGAAAGAAGGGGACAAGTCTGTCCACGCTATGCCGGGTACACCCTCAGTGATGGACGAGAACGCATGCTTTATCAATGTCACTTGGCACTTGAATAATAAGTGTAAAATAACTGACCTGAAGACATGCCAAACAGCTTATTTCCTCTAAAGTAAGCAGTAAATCCATTACAGCTGAGACTGAGGCAACCTAGGTGCTCAACTTAATTGTTTGGAATAATTTATAATTATTTCTACTGAAGACAAAAATAATGGCTGTTTTGTTTGGGTATGTCAGGCCTGCCCTGTCCACTCCACCTCTCACATCCCAGATCCTCCTGTTGGGTGACCAGGCCCGACCTCCACCTTTGGTCAGCTGCTCCTAACCACACAGGGTGCCCACAGGTGCCATGTGGTCCAACTTGACATCTTCCAGAAGCTGTTAGCCACAAAGCTGGCCTGGAGGGAGGGCACTGACAGGAACCCCTGTCTGTCTCTAGCATGAGAGGCATCTAATTCACACTCATATTTATAAACCATGTTAAGAAACCTGTAAGGACTTTTTGGGGCTGGAGAGCAGAGGTCTTGGGAGGGAACAGGCACAGGTTGCTGCTCCTGGTGTTTTTAGCCACATTTTAGCTTTTTCCCAAAACCCCTACTTAGCATTATTCCAGTCAGCATGAGTTCAGCAGTGTTGCTCCTGAGTGATTCTGAGAAGGATTTTGATTCCTGCATTTGGACGTGGAAGCTAGAAATGTTCTAAAGCTGTAACCTGAAAATATGTGCCGGTGTTTAAATGTGTATCTTACAAACTTAATGACAAAGCTAGTGTTGTCATTTCCCTTTGTTTGCTTTGGTTGCATAGAACCTGATGGGCTCAGTACTCCTTATCTTCCTATTTGGCTTTTCACCTTCTTATTCTGTTGAGGAAGAGCTTACTCAAGGGCCTTTTAGGCAGAGCAAGAGGTGGCCCCACCATGCCAGCTTTCATCTCCCAGGGTTTGAGTATGTTCTAGCTTGGAGACCAAGCAACCAGCCATGATAAAAGCCCAGGATCTACATGTTGCCCTTTTCGTGACAGACTTAAATGTTTGGCAGAAACGACAAGTACATTTAGGTCAAAGTCATTGCTGTGCGTATCTCCCTACAGCGGGTGGCGCTCACCTGCTCTGTCTGTGTCTGGTCTCTTGGGAAGGCATTTGCATCTCTTGCCACTGTTCTTCTGTGGCCAGAAAAAAGAGTTAAGAATGTCTTCCAAGAACAAACTTAAGGGCCGGGGGTGTAGCTCAGTGGCACAGCACCTTCCTGGCAAGCACGAGGTCCTGAGTTCAATCTCTGGTACTGGGGAAAAAAATAAAAAAGAACAAACTAGATCTGCCTGGTGTAGCCTCGTGGGTGGCAGGGGCTGGTTGGTAGAGCAACAGTATTTCCCAGGTAGTGAGCCAGGCTGCACCTGGAGCTGAGCTGGGGAACCTGGTCCTTGTCTCTGGAGTGTGTGAGACAGGTAACTGAAATGAAGGCTGCATCCTGCTTAAGGGGGGCACCAAAGCCTGGGCTGGTTCACTTCCATTTAAGGAGATCAACGTTCAGGAACCAAGCTGCCCATAGTGAATATAAACATCTCTGGCACTTACCTGGTTGTTGCCATGTCAGGTAACATCGTGTCAGAATTGAGAAGTACTGAGCACTGCACTGTTCCCTGCTGTGTCTCTTCCCTTTGCGTCTCTGAGTGCAGGTGAACCCTAACCATCCCCTGATCAGTAGGCAGAGCCACAGATTTTGCCATCCTATTACCATCTCTGCAGAGATGTGGCCAGGGGCATATGGTAAGGATGATGATTGCTGTAAGGGGGCACAGTATTTTGTGGTCTTTGGTGTGGGTCTATAGAGAGATAGCTCTGCCAAAGCTGAGAGGGCACATGTCTTAAAAGTGCATTCCCTTTTATTTTAATCGAAAAAAAGGGTGTCTCTTTAAATTTACAGTATGGGTCAGTCTAGATGATAACCAAGATCATGTCTATAGAAATCTTAGTCAGTCCAGGCTAAAAGAAATGAGGCTGTGGGGACAGTCGGGATTCAAATAAAAGCATAAGTCTGTGGCTTCTCCTGGGAGTGGGACTGGGCCTGTCTGTGCGTCAGGGCAGGGTGGGATGGGAGGCATGCGGTATGACTTCTCTTTAAACGTCAGTGGTTTATGTCACTGGTGAGTGAGTCACACAGTTTCAGAACTGATTCAGAATAACTTCTCAGCCTTTTGGCTAAGATCAAGTGAGAACTGATTCAGAAATTTAGAACCAATCCATTATCTAGCCAAATAATTATCATGCTTTTTTGAACTCATATCTCCAGTTAGTAAAAAGAGGATTGAGCATTTGCTTCCATTTATATCCACCATTTTGTTTATTTATTATGTTTGTGTATTACATATGTGACTGCTATCTGGATTCATTCTTGTACTTCATCAAACATGTAAAGTAGTTGGGTTAGAAGGGCATTGTAATCAGTGCCTGTAAAGAATGCTGTGAAAGCCGGGCGTGGTGGCACATGCCTGTAATCCCAGCACTCAGGAGTTGAGACAGGAGGATCGCTGTGTGTTCGAGACCAGCCTGGGCTACATAGTGGGTTCCAGATCAGTCTCAACTACATAGTGAGACCCTGTCTCAGAAAAACAAACAAACAAAAAAAGAATACTGTGAAGCCAAGAAGGAAGCCACTGAACCAGCCCGGACTTTGGTGCCTTGTCTCTGCCTTAACCAGGAAGCAGTTTTTGAATTGTAAAATTGTGTTTATTTTTGTTAATGCTGAGGCACATAGAAATATTTCTATTTAAAAATGCAAAAAGCAGGAAAAAATTGTAGACTGTCCCTCCATGTACCTGTCACCCACCTCAGTTACCATATCTTTTTGTTCTTGTGTTTTCTCCTCATACCACTCCCCCGCCATGTTCCCCTGCTCCGTACCAGGGATTGAACTCAGGACCTTGCACTTGCAAGGCAGGCGCATTTCTACTGAGCTAAATAAATCCCTGGCTCTTTACTTTTTTTTTTTAAACTTCGGGAGGAGTGAAGAGAGCTTAGGGGTATTTTAACATGAATCCAAAATATACTGCTGTTTCATTTCTAATCAAACACTGCAGCACAGGTGTTTTCAAACTTTTTGAACTTCTGAAACACTTTTAAGTGCTGGGCATGGTGGCACATGCCTGTAATCCCATTGCTTGTGATGCTGAGGCAGGAGAATTGCTGCCAATTTTAGGCTAACTTGGGCTACATAGTGAGTTCAAGACCAGATTTTACTACACAGTGAGCCCTGTCTCCAGAAAAAAAAAAAAAAAAAAAAATCTTTTAAGCATTTCACAAAATGGCTGTGGATCCTGAATTCCTGGTCTTTGTCCAGTTTCCCTGTTGCCTAAACAGTGCCTCTGTTAAGGCTGATCACTCCACTCAGCACCCAGTGGACCCTGGACATGGCATAGTAGCTCTCCCAGTTCCTGCTGTGCAGGTGGACCCTGTGCTTTGGGGATTTGGGGTGAGGGGCACTGACCATCACTGATCTCTTCCAGGGCCTCTACCTGGAGCGCCTGCTGCTCTGTGTCCAGACCCTGGTGTCCGTGTGTCAGGAGGACTGCAGCATGGCTAGCCTGCAGCTCATGGAGGTGCTGGTGACGATCATGGCTCTCTCAGGTGCCACTACCCTTGGGAACAAGGTAAGGCTAGTAGATATCCCTGTCACTGTGATCTCTCTGTGACGGAAATGTAACTGTCTTTCATAAATCTCCTGTGCACTTGCATTTCAAGCCTCAGGCATACCTGTCTGGCAAAGATGAAAGAATGTGGAACATTTGGGATGAGTCATTCATGAGGTGGCCTCAGGGTGTCCTGCCATCTGTGCAGATAAACCCTAGTGTCTAGGAGAGAAGGCGCTTTAATCTTGGAACCTGTGGCAAGCAAAGAAGAAACAAGACTGTCAGAATCCTTAAGCCTGCCTGTATGAGTGGTTTTAAAATGCACACTTCTGTTCGGCTGAAAGTCTGGAGAGGAGGGCAGTGATTTTCCTGCAGTAATTGCAGCACAGCTTGACAAAATTATCTCTATCCCCTTGGCTCTGTTTATGCCTAAAAATTTCCAGAGCTGCCCTTTCTGTGGGCTCTGAGGACTACCTGGGACTCAAGGAGCCCAAGGTGCATTTTCCTACCAGGGTCATTTTGTGTGGAAGACATGGCAGCCAAGGGGCCTCAATTCAGGGAGGCTCACCTCTCTCCCTCTCTTTTAGGGGAGTTCTTTATTGGTTTTAGAGGAATTTTGTTGTGCGTGTGGTATTGAGGGTGGAACCCAGGGCTGCACTACTGGTAAGCTATATCCTTAGCCCTTTTTGTTTCTTTCTTTTTTTCCTTTTTCTTTTTCTTTTTGAGACAAGATCTCAGTAAGTTGCATAGGCTGGTCTCAAACGCAAAATCCTCCTGCCTCAGCTTCCCAAGAGCTTACAGGTATGTGCCACCATGCCCAGCTTCTTGAGGCCTCTTTAAACCTTGCTTTAGTTTGCTCTTTGAAAACAACTTTTATAAAGGGCATGTTTTTGTAGATAGTTTGTCATCAATGGCCATAAATAATAGCGAAGTGGTGCCTATGTGTGGCAGGAAGGAAGCTAAGTACCAGTGACAGGTGGGTGTACAGAATAGAGGCCACTGGGCAGCTGCCACCAGGGAATTTCAAGGACTTCCTATTACGTTTGAATCCCAGGGAGAAAGGCATAGATTAATGGGTAGCTGGCAGCTTTGTGGTTAGCCATACCTCACCCCAGTGTCAAGAGCCAGCATGGGTCCTGGCTTCAGTGACAATGGAAGTTAAAGCAGGAAACATCACAAATTTACAGGCAGAAGCTTTGATTGGAAAGTTTATTATAGAGAAGACACAGCTGGCTGTCAGTAGGCAGCCCCAGGGGTGACAGGAGAAGATCCCAACAGAGGATACATTTCACTTTTGTGGGGTCTCAGAGGAATTGCATTAATTATTCATGGATTTTTCCAAAAGGCTCAGGGGGTCATTGGACAGGGTAAAATTTAGTTACTTCACAGATGTGAGTTTGCACACAGTCCAAAATATGCTTAGCAACATGTTATGCCCCCTGTGGGTGGAGAGTTTATTATGGAAATGCATGATAATGAAGGGATAATGAAGTTCAGGGTCAATTCCCAGATAGGCCTGTCTCCATTCAGCTTGCATTAGTCTAACCCAGTCACCTGCACATCCCACCACTTGGTCGCTTAGTTGACAGCATGACTTACTTTAACTTTACTTTACCTGTCACCAAAAGCTGCCCAGCCTGCTTGTTCTCTCTCAGGCTGCTACTTCTGTCACATTGTCCCCTCCAGAATCATCTGTGGAGGTCTGACTGGGATAGGAGAGCTGAGCACAGGAGGGCGGGATGGGTTTCGGTGACAACTGGCTCAGTCTAATTCCTTGAAACTTCTTGGCTCCCCAGAGCCCAGTCAGAGCAGCTCCGGGTCACCTTCAATCTGTGCAAACCCAGGAACCACTGGAGCTGCTCTGTAATTGATGCCTGTGTGTCTGCTTTATTATTCATTATCAGGACAGCATTGACAGTGTGATGGGAAACCAGAATTCGCAGGCTCAGCCACAGCCCTGGGCTTCAGGTCTAGTCTTGGAGTGTTTCCGTCTTACAGCGCTCCCCTGGCTGTATGTTCACATTTAACCCAGTCATTCAGGCAGGTAAAGGGCCTTGAATGATAAAGGCTTAAAAATTGGAATTGTCAGCCAGGTTTGGTGGCACATTCCTGTAGTCTTAGCACTCTGGGATGCTGAGACAGGAGGATTATGAGTTTGACCCTAGCCTGGACAACTTAGCAACTTGGTGAGACCCCATCTCAAAATTTTAAAAAACATTTTAAAGGCCTGAGGGTGGTGCTTAGTGTCAGAGTACTTGGAGGCCTTGGGTTCAATCCCTCGTACACCCCACACCCCCATTGGAATGTTCCCAATGTTTGACTTGTGTCTTGCAGGCTCAGGAGACCATGGAGTCGCTGGCCATGATGGAGAACGTCCCCAGTAGTCAGGACCTCTACCGCAAGCACATAGGGCCTCTCCTGGAGCGGCTGACCACCTCGCACAGTGACTGGACTGCACACTCTGTGGAGCTGCTGCAGTTCTGTGAGGTCGTCACCCGGTCAGGTGAGCCTCGGGCAGCTCTCAGTGCTCAGCCTGGCCTCCTCTGTGGTCCCGCTGTTCCACCACAGGGAAACCGGGATGCAGCATGCCGCCTCACTGCCCACTGAGGTGTGTTTCAGAAAGTGGCGAGAGGGAGCCCCCAGGGCACAAAGGCTGGAGTTGCAGGTTGTGTGAGTCATTCTTCAGGATCTGGCCCCACACACAGCGTGTGCAGTGACTTAGGAATCAGTGCGTCATGGCCTCTTGTAGCCTGTTTTCTTCATAATCACCTGGATTTTAGTGCAGAATTGCACATTTCCAGCTGCTTGGCATTGCGAGTGTGTGACACAGGAGGCTTTGGCTTTTCTTTTTTTTTTTTTTGGT